GGGGGGGGGGGGGGGGGCAGAGCAGCGGTAGTGAGGTTGTGTTGGTGTGGTTGCAGTTGGGTTGCGCGTTACACTGCATGCTCCGACCAAATCTTCACTTCACAGCGGCAACAGCGCCAACCACAAACCCGCTACAAACGACACACAGGAATAGGTACTACAACATATTTATTTCTTCATTTATGTGTTTTGTGTTACGCACCGAGCTGCGGCTGTTTACCAGGATCGATATGTCTTTGTAACGCGGTCCACATCGCTACAGCAGTTCATTTGCATTCTGGTAAATTGAATTTGATCAAAAAGCAACATTTTAATGCATACTTTTGTGGTTTGTTTTGCATATCCGAGCTTCCGTTTGATCTTAATCGATTAGACTGTCAACGATTAACTTTTAACCCATTGCATCGATGTTATTTCTAATTATAAACTACTGTTGTTATTTTTCTATAATAATTTATTCAATTATTAAATAGTGAATCCGCTCAGCAGTATTTTCTTAAATAGAAGCGGAACAGAGAATAACACCAAAAGCCACTGTAAATATCATACCGTGAGCGTAATGCATGATCAAAACCGTGTGTCTTTTGGGTTCCGTTGCAGGTAGTTGTAAGAAAGCCGGCAAGAAGCAACAAACGTCGAAAGCACAGCAAACGGAAACGGAGCGCGGTTTAGATCTGTCGGATTTGGACTTGAGCTCCATAGAGTTCTCGGAGCGGGAGATGGCCGCGCTGTCGGGCCTCACGCCGGCGCTCTCTCGCCGCTTGCAGCAGCAGCTGCTCGCGCACCTGCCGCCCGCCGCCGCGCGCTCGCTGCGCCGCACGCTCTCGCTGCACGCCGCGCCGCCGCCCGCAGCCACCGCCGCGCCACACGCGCCCCACGCGCCTCACGCCCGCCAGCGCGCGCACCGCAGTCACTCCGCCTCCAAATACAACGAACCGACTAATTCTGACATCCTCCATCGACTCGCGCCCGTCGACGACAATCAACCACGAGCACCCACTCCCACACCGGATACAAAGTCGGACCTCGAAGAAAACAACGCTAACGATCAAATCCGAGATGATGCTGAAACTAAAGGCGTCCAACGCCGCTACCTGCGGGGACACTCAGTTAAATCCATAGATAATGATACCTCCAAAGACAATACTCCGGAGCAGAATACCGATAGAACTGTTTCTCACTCACCAAATAATGATTCCAAGAGAACTGACGGTCTCACTGCAGAAAACGAGGAATCGGAAAGAATCAATAGAAATGATGACATGGATTTAGTAACATCTTCGCACGTGGCCCAGTTTTGTACGCTGCCGCGTCTCAAACGAAACTCAGTAACGTCTCGAGATTCCACATCACCCGTTTCTGTCGTAGATTCAGTAGGATATGATTTTTCAGCGAAAAATGTTGTAGGAAAGGAGGCCACTACGTCCAGAGCCAGTAGCATCCGCAACTCGCAGGATCGGCCGCTTCTTAGCAAATATTTAATTCCAGATCGACATTTATCTTTAGACGAATCGTACACGTCTGATACGGGAAGTATAATATCTGAACCGAGCTATATCGCCGCATACGGCACGTCGCCTTTGGGCAATACCTCCGGGTTAGGTTTCAGGCGACATTCGATGAGGCTCCCGGGTGACCAACCCAGGAAACGCATTTCGAGGTTCCTCAGGTCGGACTTTTATGACACTCCCCCTGACGATAGTCTTTACGCAAAACACAAAAAGGAAAAAGAGTTAGAAACCCAAAAAATTCTTAAAGAAATACGAGAAAAGAAAAACAAATCATTGGATTCTCCAAAAAGCCCCGTAGAAAGTAATGAAACGTCAATTTTAAATAAGGATGACTCGGCTTATGTTCGTAAATGCTTATCGCCAGTAGGTAATTTATTAAGTAGGGAACGTAGCAGATCTACTACGCCATTTTTCCCGATTTTAGATAATATCAAAGAAACTAATTTAGACACTTCATTGACGATAACAGACTCAAAGAAAAATGACTTGCGTAAAAGTAGTTTTATAGAAGAGAAACTTCAAAACAAGGAATCAAAAATGGCCAGACCTAAGAGCTATCCAATAAAAAGTTTTAATTCGTTAGATGAATCTAGCAAAACTCGGGCACAAGAAACATCCGAAACCATAGATCGCGAAAGCGAAGAAAGAAAATTAACACGAGAATCTAAACTAATACGCCCTAAGAGTTATCCTGCTAGCACACCATCACCGGAAAAAATAAATTCTAATAAAAATGGGAAGAGAGATGGTTTAAAAGAATCATTAAGTTCAAAAGAAGAAAATAATAAGAACGAAAACAAAACTGACGTGGAGGTAAGCTTTAACTTTACGTTGCCTAAGAAAAAAAATTTAATTACGAAATCAGAAACATCAACTAAAAATACAGATTTATCAGAACTAAAATCGGAGTTAAAACAAGAAGTTGCCGCGCCGACACTAGTACTGAAATATAAAATAATAAATGAGGATGCAGACACACACACTGGAAACGGTAAAATCGTTGATAATGCTACATTGAATGGGTCTGCAGTGGAAGACACTACTAAAGTAGTAGATGTTAAAAAATCGGACAGTGATACTAATAAAAAAATTGTTAAAAAGAAAATTATAAAAAAAGTTTCATCAAAATCAAAGACTGATGCAATTAGTAGTGAAGAAACCAACGATGGTACGAAGTCAACCGATAAGAAAAAAGTGGTTAAGAAAGTGAAAGAAAAAAGTAGCGAGGATAGTAAAGCTACAACTGTAAAAAAGAAATCTGTTTTGCAATCTATAGGTCATAAGTTAGAAAAATTAGCGTCATCAAAATCGAATTCCCCAGAGAAATCATCTCAAAGTAGTATACCATCAAAAGATCTTAAGAAAGAATGTTCCAAATTAAACAGATTGCAACGAGAACAATCTGTTCCCGTAGACACCGATCCTCCTACCGAATCTAATCTTATCAAAAGAGCCGTCACTCTTACAGATGTCGCCGCTTTAGATAGTCAAAATGTACCACAGAATAAAACCACTGTTTCCAAAGTGTTAGGACTCTTCAAGAAATTTGAATCAAAAGAAAGAAGTCCAAAGTCTGTTATCGAAAATCCTGCGAGTGAAGACACTACTATGATCAATAGTAAAAGTAACAAATTTGATACAAGTACCGAAACGAATTTAGAGAACGACAAAGATAAACCTAAAAGGCCGACATCATTATTATTAAATGGCTTAGGACGTAAAAATAAATACAATAAATCAGCAAGTGACAGTGTTTCCATTGCCTCATTAGAAACAGACGAGCAGCCAGTACTTAAGAAAGATCGTGAACCGAAAGGTGTTAGAAATACTTTAAAATTAGATTTCTCCAAATTGCCAAGAGTAAAAAAAATAGTTCCTACAAATCCTGTGATAGAACCGCAAATTATGAATATATCTTCGACTGAGAAAGAAAATGAAAAGAAAAATATTTTAGAAAAAAATCAAACGATAATCGAAAGTAATGACAAAAACGACACAAACGATTCACATTCTCGCAGTCGCTCAAGAAGCAGGTCGATCTACTCTAATTCCGATGTTAAGTCTGAACACAGTGCAGAGATTAAAGGCGCAGATAAACTTTCCGAAAGGCTCACTGGAAACTCGATTCTTAGATCTATGCGCAACAAGGATTCCATCAGTCCCGAAAAGGAAGACATCGTAGACAGGATTCGAAGAAAAAGCTTTTATTCCAGATTCAACGAAAAAAAGCAAAGACGAAAAAGTAGCTTAGTGGGCCCCGGCGCCATCGAATATGACCCCGTGGCGAGGCTGCACTCGCAGCCCACGGAGACCAAACTGGACGTCTCCCCCTCGTCCTCCATCAACTACGACTTGTCGCCCGGCTACTCCAACGCGTCAGACTTGTCACCGTCCACCGATCGCTACAGATCCCTCTTCACTGATCTTCCAAGTGCACGGGGTTTGAGGTACGATGGCATCAATGAAAAAGTTGACACATACCGGTCACTGGATCGAAATGATTTCAGGAAATATTCAAGCGGCAGGAGTTACCTAGATTATGATCAGACAGGAACTTATGGCGGCCATAGGTACTCACGAACGAAATCTCTCCTCGAAAATTGTGATGGTAACGAGGAGCACGGTTTGAGTCACCTGAGAGACCCTGTAAAATACAGTAGGACTAATTCTTTGTACACTCCTGGGAACTACGCCACGTACAGACCGAAAAGAACGAGGAATTCCGCTATTATATTAAAAGAAAGCGAAAAGGAACCGAGCCCCGAAAATATACTTGAGAAAATAAGGAATAGAAAGATCTCAATCAGTGTGACGAGGAAAGCCGACTCTGAGGATTCACTGCCAAGGTGTGTATACTTCGCAAAATACATGTTACGTAAATAATTCAAATAACTTTCCCGAAATTACAAGATTTTTCTCTTTGCACGCTTCATGCTTTTGAATAAAAAACTTGCACTAATACATTAAAGGTTTTATAATGTATAGATAATTTGCGGAAAAAACTTAAATGTAAAATATTATGTAAGTAGATCATAATGTTGTATAGACAATCATTATTCATAATTTACACAGTAATCAAAGTATTCAATATCCGCTCAAAAAGAATAAGACGTAGATTGTAACAATTATTTCATTGAGCATTATAGTAGAAACAGTTTGAGACAGCAGCGTTCATAACCATGAATGTTGCGCATTTTCAGATCCAATGTCTCATCTAAAAGCGAAGGCGACGGTGCAGAACGCTCTGAGAAAACTGACTGAGCGACGCTACTGACCTCTCTGCGAGATACAACATCGGCCGTTTGTCATCAAACATTAGCATTTCAACAGCCCCTACATATAACTTATTTATTGATTTTAGATTTATAATTAATTCACAAACTTACATGTTTTCCATCGATCATTAATTGCTTCTTGCTGTTTAAATAATTGATTTATAATAGTTCTTGCCACTGAGCTGTAGTATGCATTTTACACGTATAAGTTAAGACGCAGTTAAATACTCAAATGTAAAACTATTATTTGGGAATTGAACTTTCCTTAAACTTAGTGAAGAATATAATAATATAGTTGCAACGTGAACATATAATTAAGATACGGCGTGAAATAACTTTTCTAATATTTTAAGATAAGCGAGGAATTGCGTCTATTGATATGACAGTAACAGTATGATATGCTTCTTGAAATCGAATTGACTATAGTTATTTATTAATGAAAGTTGAAAATGTTTTGCAAATGAATAACTTTTTTTAAGGAAAAGTTTATATGAAACACATCTTACGTGCCTTTATACAACATAAGCGACTGGATTTTATATAAATTATTAATTAGACGAGGGCGACACGATTTTTGTGTGTTTGCACAAATAACGCTGGTTATTTTTAACTTTAGCTGTTGTAATTGACTTTGTATGCTGCCGAAGTCAACTTAAGTTATAATGTTAACAAACATGAAAGTATTGAAAGCTAAGTCACGAAACAGTTATCGAATAGAATGGTGCTTAGTTGAAGATTTTCTTAGAACATAATTTGTATTTATAGAATGATATGTTAAAGAATTTGTAGGTATTACTATAATATATCAACGAAAGTTTTGTGTTTCCTTTCAAACGTAATTTATATTTTATTTGTAATTTTTTTAAACTATATAAAGGAATTGTTTGCAATCGTTGCCATATTCACCTCTCCGTAGTGGACAGTGGTCAGCTAGGCTATAGGTGAGCGTTCTTTGACAGTTTAAACATTACAGACATTTAACGCCATCTACATTATTTTTCATATCGAATCTATTTATTAATTTTTTTTTATTAGATTGAGTCTATTTATTAGTGTGTGGTGATTGTTAATATTTGTACTGCCTGTCATGGTAAAGCGATACTGTGATCCTTAAGATAAATATTAAAATTACTATCACACGTGTTTTGTATTGAATGTGAATAAATCATATAGTTGAAATGCATATATTTTGACTTTTATTTTTCATCCTCCCATTCTGCAAGAAAAACATATTAAATAAAATGTTACCTGCAATTCATCACAGACTTTTAAAAATCTTCAATATGTTAGTTTTAGTTATTAAAAAATTTATCAAAATTGTACGTCGTCAATAAAAAGACATATTTTATAAAAATATAATTTATTTTCTATATGAATAAACAAAATTCATTTGAGAAAATATCCATATTATTTAAGGGGCAGCGAGCAGTTCGAGATCCTCGAAGTACTTGGCTTGTTGGTCCGCGAGCTGCTCGAGGATGTCGTCTACTTTGGAGTCGGGGAAGCGCTCTACCCACGAAGAAATCATGCCTTCCGCACCCGCCGAGTACCGCTTTAGTTCCACTGCGTTATCTGTTACGAAAAAAACCTTTAAAGTCGCAACGTATATAGCAACTTACAAGCTTACAGTGTCTTTTAGTTGAAATTATTTAATTAGCCTATTATTAGAAATGCATTATGATCCTTGGAGCCGGATATTTTTACATTGTTATTTTCGAATATTGACAATATTTAAAAATAACTAGCAACTGTCCACGACTTCGTCGCAGCCGTTTCGGAGATTACCCAGAACAAACGAGTTCTTGCGGTCAGACAGACAAAAATTTTATAAATTGTCTTCGTCATCAGCAACATACATTACACGAACGTATTTTTTGACTGTATATAACATACAGACACTCCAATTTTATTACTGATTATATTATTACAACATTAAATAGTAGGTAACCTTTGAGCATAGTGTTGGGCTGTACAAATATGTTGCGCGGCTGCTTGTGCAGCAGCACGATGTCCCGCCAGCGCGCCCACTCGCCCTCCAGCCGGCTGTAGCGCGCGAACAGCTGCTCCGCCGCCGCCGCGTCGCCCGTCGCCTTCAGCGTTTGCAGCTTCACCAGGAACTCACCTGCACAATATTTGCTTTAATCTTCAAGTATACCTCTAAGTATGGGCTGAGAGACCGTCGGTGAGTTCGTCGTGAGCTTACGAAAACTATACGGTGATCGTTTACAACAGTGACGTAAAGCACGACATGAACACAAACATGTGTCTGTCAAATTATCATTTTTAAATACTGCCTTCAGTCTTGAAATTTTGACCAATGTCATAGTTCAGCACGTGTTTATCGGTTGAAATAAAAGTAACTCATTAAACGGCTTATGTTGTGGGTAAGTTAAAAATGAGAAAATAATAAGTTATTTTATATTACCGATGATCCTCTTGCCGTCGGTTGCGATGCGGTGCCTGTCGAGCGTGAGCAGCAGGTCAGTGCCGCGCGCCGGCTCCGTCACCGTCAGCAGGCCCTCGCCCTCCAGCTGCAGCAGCCGCATCAGCACGAAGCGCGCTCGAGCGTGCGCCTGGACAAACAACATTTACAATTAACAACTTTTAACTATGTAGAATAACGTCTATTGTCACCTACAAGTAGTGAACGTCAATGTACAACATACCGCAGTTGTGTTTAACATATTTAAACTTTTAATATATTGGGCCTTCTCTTATGTAAGACGAGAGATAACCATGGTAATGTTTTTTACCTGCAGCCATGTGTCAGTGGAGGGCTGGTACATCTCTGTAGCCTTGGCGACGCCGTTCCACAGCAAGCTCAGCCAGTTCACGTACGTCACGTCCTCCGCCTCCTGACCCTCGTACCCGAAGATCCTGACAGTACACAAATCAATACATTTTTGAGAGGTAGGAAACTAACAATAATGAAAGCGCCATCTATTAGTAATTATTAAAAGCATACTTGACGATCTCCGGCAGCACGGAGAGGTAGAGGCCGACAGCTTCGGCGCGGCACTCCTCGAACGCGGAGCCAAGCGTTGTGAATTTGCTGTCATATGTTTCTCCTTCTGTATACCACATCTCGATCTCTTTGCCTACAATTATTTTTTATTTGAGATAAAGTCTACAATTATGATTAGATTTACATCAATGAATTTATAACTCGCCTGTTAGAGGATTCTTGACCTTTTTCTTATCGAAATTAAATGTTCCGTCGGCGTTCTGACGCAGTAGCTTACCGCTGCCGTGCCCCAACAGCTCGTGTAGGCCCACTTGCACCTAATGGACACATACATATCAGGTGAATATTATTTTAATAAAATCTTCAAAAGAGGACTACTAAAATGGAATACTCGGCTTACCTCAAAGGAAGCGACTCTGTATTTATCAAGCAATGCCTTATCCTCTTCAGACAAGAAGGGTATGACGGACTCCTTGTAAGCAGCAGGGATCACGTTGCCAAGCGACACGTTCTTGAAGCCTTCATTTTGACGGATTTCGTCATCTAATGAAAAAAGTTTTTTTTTAGAAAAAAATGATCATTTTCATAAATGGTTAATGTGATATTTGTTTCATTGTGTGCTTTAACGCTGTTAATCAGTATTGCTATGTGCATTCTTTTTTTTGCTTCCATTGTCAATCCATTGCGTAATTATCATCATTGGACTATATACTAAACTTACAATTGGGGATATTGATGCCAGCTGGTATGCCACTTCCTGAGAATGTCAGAACATCGAGACTGGTGAAGTCAGGCCTAAGGAAAGAGTCCTTTTCTAGATCCTGACCCCAGGGAAGCAGCTTTATGAAGCTCTCGGCGCTGTCAACGAGCCTGCCGAACTTTTTCGACATCTCCTTGTTCACCATGGCCACGAAACCTTCAAATTCTCCTCGTTGGCCGCTTGGGTCACGGTATGTCTCAATAAAACCTTGGTACCTATAAAATTTAGACTCTATAAACAGTGTCATTACAATATTAAGTTAAAAAAAATTGCCATTGAAGTCCTAAATCAATATGTACAACTATTTAAGTCTATAGTGAAAAACTTACGTTTCAATGATAGGTCCCTTGTCTTTGATCCAAAACCTGCTGCCTTCCTTATGTTCATTCAAATCTCCTTCAATAAAGCTGTTAATATAGTGTTTGAGCATATTCTTCTCATTATCATTAGCCGCATACTCTTGTGCTTTACCAAGGTTGTCACTGGCAATCTTCAACAGCGGGGAATAGTCACCACGGGTCACTTGGAAGTATGCATTCTTATATAACTCCTTGTCCATAGTTAGTGGTGGTTTGGGTGATGATTCCACACTTGCCAAGTGAATAGTGTATAAAGGCACTGTAAAAAAAAGATTGTATTTCTTTATTAACATATGCCTTTATAATTTTTTTTTGAAAATGAACTCTAAAGTCAAATCTGTGGCAAAGAATATATTCATTCTAGATTTTTAGGATGACCTTTAAATTCTTCATGATAGTCACATTGGATGTAAAACACAAGCTTATCAAATGTTTGTCTCATTTTAGTAACTTACATCCATCATCAGCTGTAGTCTTGAAAGTTCTACAAATGTAGGCTTCAATTCTCTTTGTTTTCATCCAATCATTGACTAAATTAGAGTCATCTTCAGTGCAGTTGCTAGAGAAATATGTTGTTACTCCCTACAATAAAAAAGATTATTTGTAACAAAGGTAACTATGACACATTTATATAAAATTATACCTCTAAGCATATTACCTTATTAGCCAAACCTAAGCTAGTCAGTCTTGGTGTCAGGCTGTACACAGGATTTTGAACCTTTTGCCATAACTTAGTTATATGAGTGTTGTCATTTTCATATGCTTTTGAGGATTTAACAATGAGTTCAAATGCATCTTTAGTCAGATTTGGAATGAATTTTGTATCACCAAATCCCTTGTAGTTACCACTATTGGCAAATAAGCCACCAGCATATACCAGAAATGCCTGTAAAGACAATTTTAATTATTTCTCGCACAACTCATATATGATAAACTCACTTTAAATCCCTACTGAGGGTGTCAGTGTCTACCTAAAATCAGGGGCGACTAAGCCTTAGTCAACCACACTGGCCCAGTGCCGGTTGATTGACTTCACACATATTGAGCTGATGATACATATGTGATAATTAATTTGAATTAAAAACATAGATTCCTCCTATAGGTATCAAAAGTAGTAGCATTTATTTAGTGCTAGCTTAAATATGATATATAATAGCATATTAAGTTATTGATATAATAGAGGAAGATATTTTAATAGAGTAAATTATCACAAATGATAAACTAGACAAATAGTCACACACTGGAAATGTTTATCTAACGGGATGTGGTAAACCTATCAGTAACTACATTGTCAACAACAATTACACTGTATGGAATTCGATTAAACTACTGCATTGTCTATGAATTTAGCATGCTAATATTTTATAACAATTAAGTTTATATTTATACAATATTTAAAATGTCTTATTTTTAGTTATAAAAATTTCAATTTTCTATTTTTATAACATGGATGAAATAGATAACTACTGTATTATTCTGATTTTTTACATTATATTTAACTAAATCTGCATAGTAGTGAGAATTTGCATACCTGGAAATCATCTTCAGATACTCCTGCCTTTAAAGCAGACGCCTTAAGATTCTCCAATGACTCTCCTAGGAAGATTCTATGCAACAGTGAAAATATTTTTGGTGATTCTGGACTTGTTTGAAGTAATACTATGAGTCCACCATTCCATGCAGCCTAGGAAAACAAACGTTAATCATTTTACTAAAAGATTATATGTAGATAATATATAAAAAAACTTGAAACAACATTAGTTACCTGACTTAGATAGTGAGCATAAAGCTTTTCTTTATTTGTCAAATTATTAAATGCTTGTGAACTATCCAGTTCCACAAATCTCTGATTATTTGGCAACAAGAAATTTGATTTATCTTCCATTGCTAATAACAAAAAAAAACAAAGGTTAAAAAGAGGGTTAGACGTGAGTCAAAAAACTTTTCTCAATTTGACTGCTATCAGAGTCGGTACTGACCATTAACTACTTTTGCCGGCTGTACAGGTTTAGACTGAGACGGACCAATTCCAGTTAAACTCTTGCTACATTTGTTAATAAATGAATCAGCAGTTAATATATGCCGGCATTTTATAAGGTTAATAGTCAGAGTTCGAAACATTGCGATAGATTTTTGATATTCACAACAACTCAATATCTGATTTATAAGATCCGTACTTACTAAAATTTGATAAAAAAATATTTCTTTACTTCTAAAATAAAAGTTTTATTCTCAAAGTTAATACTTTTAACAATCTTGAACTACAAAGGAAAACCAAACCAATCAACTTCAAAACTTCAAAATCACCAAACAACCAAAGAGTATAATAAGTATACTATAGAAAGAGGGGCAACTCGCACGAAGTCGTGGATCCACGGCGATTGTGGCGCTCCTTGCGTATAATCGGTGAACTATTTTTTTTTTTTTGGTACCTATATACGTAGGCACGCATATTTAGCTCACTATAATAATAACTGATAAGTGGGAATCTAATTTATGAAGTTAAAATTGACATTAAATCAATGTTCAAAAATAATATACCCACTTATGTAGTTATTAATATAGTGAGCCGATATCAAGTAGCCTTCTATGAAATACCTCTATTAAAATGATCCTATTATTATTGGGGAAATAAAAACAAAATATTTTTATATTTTTGTACGTTATTTATTATATTTCTACATAACTTAATTTTAAATCTATGCAAGTACATATACATCAATGACTTTCATGATATCAGCTCAATATTTTAATTTTTAATATATATATTTGAAAATTACATTTACGGTAATAAATAGTATAGCGCGGTCACAAAAGAATGCATACCCTGTAATTAAAACCAAACCCCAAAATATTGTCAGTCACATGCAAGCTGGCAACTTGTAGTTATTTGCGAGTTTAAACACTCTGAACATATTCCCTTAAAACATAGGCAAGCAAATTTTTCTTTACAATAAAAAATTACAAATAAAAAAATATATTTTTTACATATACACACATGGACCCACCTACTAATTTCAGACACATCAGTTTATGGCTCTATAATTCCAGTGATTGGCACACATTTTCTGAACATCACTAACCGTCTCTCAGGAAGGGGGAAACCGTGTATATGTGCACCTACAACAAACAAACAGAATGTGATTTCCTGTCAAGTATAGGAACTGATATGTAAAATGTATTAGAAGTAGGGCACCATTCA